CCCAAAGTGCTGGGACTAAAGGTATGTGCCGCCACCACCCGGCCATTTTAGTTCCTTTTGAAAAAACTCTTTATTATTATGATTGCGTAAGCATATGATGTTGGCCATGTGTGGAGGTCAGAGGAGACCATGACTCTGTAGAGTCAGGTCCCTCTTTCAACTTTACCTGGTTTCAAGGCATTGAACTCAGGTTACCAGGTTTGTACAGCAAATACCTCGATGCGATGATATATCCTGGTGGGCCCTGGATGCTTTTTTTTACTATTATTACTGGCCTTTATACAAAATTATCTTTTAAAAAAATTTTAAAATGTGCATTGGTGTTTTGCCTGCATATCTGTGTGAAGGCATTGTCCCTTGGAACTGGAATTGCAGTTGTGAGCTGCTATGTGGGTGCTGGGAACTGAACCCAGGTCCTCTGAAAGAGCAGCCAGTACTCTTAATTGCTGAGTCATCTGTCCAGTCCCTTATTACTGTTTTTTCTAAACGGGATTTCCTAGCCTCATGAACTCAAAGATCTAATTGCTTCTTTTGCTCCTCCCAGCCCACCCCCTTGCAATTAAAGGTGTGAGCCACTATGCCTGCCTGTTTTTATACAAACGGGTAAAGTGAAGCCCAGGCTGACCTTAAATTTGGAATCAGACTTGTGAATGATAGGGTTACATACTTACAGCTCAAAATCTTGCTTTTAAAAAAATTATGATTGAGATCACTTTTCTGAGTGTATATTTATGTCCGTAAATTTTAGCAAGATATTTCAGTGTCTTTCATAGTTACTTAAAATGTAATTCCAGTGGTGTTGACACATACTTTTAGTCCCAGCATTTGGGAGGCAGAGGCCTGTGGATCTCTGTGAGTTCAAGGCCAGCCTGGTCTACAGAGTGAGTTCCAGGACAGGTTCCAAAGCTACAGAAACCCTGTCTCGGAAAAAAAAAATTCTCGCTATTTGTGTCAGTAACATTTTTTTTTACAAATTTGACAGGTAGGTGATGGGATTTTCAAATGTTCATGCTCTGTGCATGAGTGATCCAAGTCTACCTTACAAGTCAAAGCCCATCTCAAATATCAATACATTTTGTTTAGTCTTAGTTGCTTTTCCCCAGATAACTATTGTATTTAAAAGTCTATGATCAAAGCCATGTGTGGTAGTACACTGTGTATTAATCCCAGAGTTTGGAAAACTAAAGGAAATTCTCAGGAATCCAAGGCCCAGTGGTCATTTCAACAAGGTCTCTTGATTGTTCTTGTGTGTGGTCTGAACTCCACTCCTGTTTCTCTAATAAGAACAGCACTTTCAGCCGGTTGGTGGTGGCGCATGCCTTTAATCTGAGCACTCGGGAGGCAGAGGCAGGCAGATCTCTGTGAGTTCGAGACCAGCCTGGTCTACAAGAGCTAGTTCCAGGACAGGCTCCAAAACCACAGAGAAACCCTGTCTTTAAAAAACTAAAAAAAAAAAAAAAAAAAAAAAAGAACAGCACTTTCCTGCTGATTGTATTCACTAAGAATCACAATTTCTATGTTGTATTGATTTAATTATGTCTTACCATCCCACTGTAAATGCCAGTAATGAGTATTTTTACATTGCCTGTGTTTTTATGTCTTTATCCTCATGCCTACCAAAAGCTTTTACATATCCCAGAGAAACGTTGGACATCCCAATGGGGAAATTGAGGACTGAGATAACAATCTGAGAGGATCTTTTGTGGGGAAGGACACTCAAGAGGGCATATGGAACATGGAACGAGGTTGTTTACTGCGTTCCTTTTTCCCTTCTAGGCTGTAGAACGAGTCCTTTACCCACATCTACCCACTTACTGGACAAACTTGCAGGCCGTGCTGGATGACTATTCGGTATCTAATGCCCAGGTCAAAGCAGATGGGCACAAAGTCTATGGAGCTATTCTGGTGAGTGGACCGCCCCTTACTACAGCTCAGCAGGTTTACTGAGATGCCTGCTGGCCCAGGTACCTTCTAGCTCTTTTTTTTTTTTTTTTTTTTTTTTTGACAGGTGGCCGTAGAGCGACTACTGAAGATGAAAGCCCAGGCAGCAGAGCCCAATCGCAGTGGCCTTGGCGGGAGAGGGTGCCATCGTGCTGAGGACTTGCCTTGGGACAGCCTTCTCCTAGAGTCTTCCCCGGGAGGTGGTGCCGAACCAGGCTTTGGGTCTGGTCTTCCCCTGCCGCCAGGAGGCGCCCGGCTAGAGGACCCCTCTTCCTTGACCCTGGCAGAAATCTACCGGGAGTTGTACGCTTTCTTTGGTGACAGCTTGGCCACACGCTTCGGCACTGGCCAGCCCGCGCCCACGGTCCCGCGCCCACCCGGAGACAAGAAGGAGCCAGTGGCCGCCCCAGACTCGGTGCGGAAAATGCCGCAGCTGACCGCTAACGCCGTGGTCAGCCCGCAGGGAGACGAGAGCCCGCTCGGCGGGGGCCCCGCGACCGCCTCCGCCGCCTCGGAGAGCAGGCCGCTGCCGCGCGTGCACCGGGCGCGGGGCGCTCCTCGTCAGCAGGGTCCTGGCACCGGGACGCGCGACGTCTTCCAGAAGAGCCGCTTTGCGCCCCGCGGTGCCCCCCACTTCCGTTTTATCATCGCTGGGCGTCAGGCCGGGCGGCGCTGCCGCGGGCGTCTCTTTCAGACTGCTTTCCCCGCGCCCTACGGGCCCAGCCCGGCGTCCCGCTACGTGCAGAAGTTGCCCATGATCGGCCGCACCGGCCGCCCGGCCCGCCGCTGGGCGCTCTCGGACTATTCGCTGTACCTGCCCCTGTAAGGCTGCGGCCCCTTCAAGAATAAATCCTCCCCAGGAAGTGATGTGTCCGGGCTCGTGGGCGGGGCTTGGGCGGTTGGCTTCCTGGTGGCCCAGGCGCCATGGCGCTGCGTTGGTTGCAGCGCGTTGAGCTCGTGCTATTCGCTGCTGCCTTCCTGTGCGGGGCTGTGGCGGCTGCGGCACTGACCAGGACCCAGGTGCGGCTGCGGGGCGGGCTAGCCTTGGGTTGGAGCAGGCCGACGTCCGGGACTGGCCGCGGTAGCTCCACCGGTCTTAGGGGCTGAGAAGTCCCAAAGTTGTTTCCTTCCCGCCCAAGATGAGCCGGTTGTTAAACTGCTGCATAAGCTTGCTTGGGTACTGATACATACAGGCCGTTTTTGCATTTATCCAATAGAAACGTTTTGCCACCCCCCCCCCAAAAAAAAAAAAAAACCAAAACGTAGTGTAGAGGAGGTGATCGAGGTACCACATGATTCTAACGCGGTGTGTGAAATGAGGAAACGCAAATACTTACGTACATTTAAGATTTACAACTGCTGGGCAGTCTTGGTAATGGAGTACTTTGAGTCTCTATAGGAGTCTAGGACACACAGGCTAGGAGAGCTGCTTGTTTAAGGGCACACAAGGTCAGGGTTTACTCCAGAATTTCTGCTCACAAAGGCTGCAACTTGTGATTTCTCTTGGGTTTTTGTTTTTTGAGACAGGGTTTCTCTATGTATCTAGCCCTGGCCATCCTGGCACTCCCTCTAGACCAAGCTGGCGTTGAACTGAAATATCTACCTGCCTCTGCCTCCCTGGTGCTGGGATTAAAGTGTGCCACCTCTGTCCGGATTCTCTTGGGTTCATTAGAACCCACTGAATTTTCTGATCCCTTCGGGGCCCTGCAGACTTGGTTACCAGCAGATCTACATCAGTCTCCCCGTTTCTCCTAATTTGTGAACTAGCCCTGACATCTGGCAGTAACCTGCATCTCGGGACACTAAACTGGAAGGAAGGACTAAACAGCTTTCTCTCCACAGGGCTCCTTCGGTGGTAGCTGTCCCTTGTATGGTGTGGCTGCCCTCAATGGCTCCTCTCTGGCCTTGTCAAGTCCCTCAGCCCCTTCCCTCTGCTCCTTTGTAGCTGTGGCTTCAGGCCTTTTGGCCCTCTACTGCCTTCTGCTTCTCCTCTTCTGGGTGTACAGCAGCTGCATCGAGGATTCCCACAGGTGATTGCCCTACCGAGGACAAGGGGTGAGGTGAGAGGAGTTCCAGCTAAGCCTCACAGCTTGTTTTCTCTCCCTCAGAGGTTCGATAGGGCTCCGAATTGCTTTGGCCATCTCAGCTATAGCCATCTTCCTCATCTTAGTGTCTGCCTGTATACTTCGATTTGGCACCCGTTCTCTCTGCAATTCCATCATCTCCTTGAACCATACAATTAGGTAATGGGAGAGGGAGGGAAACCTGGCAGGGACTATCTTCCCTCTGTAGGGGACAAGTCATTTACGTTCCCATTTTATCCCCATCCTTTGGTCCTTTAAGAACACAGATGTGTTTAGAGCGTTTTCCCCCTTTCTATCCTCACAGCTGCTCTGACGCCCAGAAAATCTCATGGACACCCCCTGGAACTGCTGTGCAGTTTTACTCCAACCTACGAAATGCTGAAGTGAGACAAAGGGATATACTAAGATTAAATACCTGTAGCTCAAGTATGGAGTGTTCTCCATGTAATATGTGCTTGGCTGTAATTCAGCCCAAAGCTCCAAGTATCCGGGGGCGTGTCACCTGATTCTCAATAGAGGATATTGAGTACTGGAGATGGCTTCCTTCCTCATATTCCTGTTTTCTCTCACAGACCTCTTCTTGGGTGAATCTGGTACTGTGGTGTCTGGTTTGGATGCTCCAGGTCGTACAGTGCAAGTCTGAAGCCACCCAGGCTCCAGAGAGGGGTGACCCAGAGTGGAGCTCTGAGACCGCTGCTCTTGTTGGGCACCGCCCATCTCGCTCCTGAAGAATGTTCAGCATGCTCTCTGCAGCCAGAAGCTCCATGCCCGAGAGCTTTTAATCTTGTCTCAAATACAGCCCTGTTTATACTGAGAGCCTCAGTTTTCCCTCCAGGAGGGAAACATTAGAATAGACCCCCCCCATACCTTTTCACCTTAACATTTTTTTTTGTACCAAAATAATATATATTACTTTTCTTCATCATGATATAGAGTTCTTGATGTGGAAGAAAATAGATGGGAGAGAAGACAGAATGATGGTTTATCGGGCCCTTTAGAAGACAGATTTATTGGCTAGTAGTGAATCCCGGGTGCCTTTTCATTGCCCTGGGTTGGTTGTCTCATCTAGAGGGTTTGCATCCTCATCTGAGAGGGTACGCCACTTTTCACAGGCTCCGGTAGGCACCCACAGTGTTGTCAAAGAGTTGAGTGTTGGGAAAGTGTCCAGTTTTGTCCAAAAGGAAGTAGAAGCGTCGGCCTTTAATTTTCAGAGGCAACATGGCAGGAACTTCACCTCTGTGGGCCATGCAGGAAACCTGGTTCAAGGGAACTGTGAAACGGGTCCCCAAGCCAAAGGGGGCATAAGTGGTGAGTGTCACTTGCTGCCCGCCTGCAAGGAGCATGACTGAACGCACAGATCGGAGAGAGTAGAGAAGACCAGCACCCAGGACCAAGGTTCCTGCAGGAGAAGCAAAGTGGGGTAAAGGATTATACAGACCCCTGTTAGAGCAACACATTGCTGTAATGGCTCTAACAGAATTTTGTGTTTCTAACTCTAAACCCATCACTTAGACAAGCTAAGCAGTAGTAGCGCACAACTTTAATCTGAGCACTCAGAAGGCAGAGGCAGGAGGATCTGAGTTCGAGGCTAGCCTGTTCTACAGCGTGAGCTCCAGGACAGCCAGAGTTATACAGAAAAACTTCCTGCCTCCACTGTCAAAATGCTAATATTACATCTGGGTGCCACCATGTACAGTTTGCGCAGTGCTGGGGATTGAATCCAAGGCCTCAAGCCTTAGGCGAGCACTCTACAAATTGAGCCATACTGACGTTCTTATAGATGGCCAGCTTCGTCGGTAAAGGGAGAAAGTGAGCCAGTGGCTTCAGTAGCCTGCTCACGGCCAGAGGGAAGGACAGACTTTGGCTTATGGTGTGTGGGGCGGAGGTGGGGATTTGGAGAGCAAAGCATTCACAGACTTTCATCGCAACTATCCTGGATATCCCGCTTACATTTCCGCTCATCCAGGATTGGGAACCCTTCATTGAGTTTTTGCTCACAGCCCCACGGCAACCTGAAGCCCATGCCCTTACCCATCGTGCCGCAACCAACAGCTAGCCCGTAGCGCCAGAGTGCAGAGCGCAGGTCGGCGTTGCCCTGGTTGGGGGCCTCCGCAGGACCTTGGATAACAGGTCGGGACAAGGCTGCAACAGCCAGAGAGGTCCAAAAGATGCCCTGGCCGGCGCAGAATAGTCCAAGGGTGGCAAAGAAGCGACCCCGTTCATTTTGGAAGAGCAGCACATCTCGTGGGACCTCATTTTGCAAATACCGGTACACAGGCTGGGACCGCAGCAAGGAAAACAGACCGCGGACATCCCGCCACCAAGGTGCCGCCATAGCGCGGCACTTCTGTCCCCGGGGCGGGACTTCCTGTTACGACACATTCTCCCACCCCTTCCTGCAGCGAGGGAAAACAAGCCAGTAATAGGACACAAGCTACAATATCACTCTTTATCTTAAAAAGTAAAGGGGATCCGGGGTTAAGTACACAGAGCACCTAAGTCCTTCGGGGAGTTTAGTGTCAGCTCTACAAAGTAAGCTTTGGCTTCCTGGCACCATGAGGCTCAATCTTCCGGAAGTCTTCTGTAAGTCTTCCAGAAGGTAGGTGAGGAGGATAAGGCAGTCCTCCCTCCTCAGTCACAGTTACAGGCTGGCCTCGGTGCTGCACAGGAGACGGCAGATGACAGCCAGACAATATTATCCAAGGGCTATTTACAAGGGGGCTTTTCCTGTGATCATTTCATAAACGCTACTTCTGGAATCTCTCCCTTGGCCTGCAGAAAGAGAACAGGTAAGTAGAGCCAGATGATTCCTTTCTCACCAGCTCATTTGACACTCCCCATCCCACACCCTGCTGTCCTGGAACTCTATCTAGATCAGGCTGGCCACAGTTTCAATCTGGCCACCTCTACCCCAAGGGTTGGGACTAATGACAAGCCCACCACACCCAGCCTTCATTTGACCCTTTTGAAAAGCTCAGAGATCCCTGGTTCTAGCCACAAAATTCCCATACCCTACCTTGAGATGAGTGAAGGCCTGAGCAGATCTGGTGTAGTCCCAGTTATTGTCTTGAAGGCACCTGAAGTGAGATTAGAATAGGAAGCCATGTGAGAATCTGACTACTCAAGGGGGAAGATGTCATTCTATAATCCATGCCATGAAGAACTTCACCCAAGTTTTTCACTAAGTTTATACATTGTTGCACCACTTATACAAATGAAACATTAAGATGTCTAACAAAAAATGACCAAAATTTTACACTGGAATGGAAGGGTTTACATAATTTAAAAACTAAGTTGCAGGATGGCAAGATGGTGCAGGCCTTTAATCCCACCATTCAGGAGGCAGGAGTAGGTGGGAATCACTGAGTTGGAAGCAATTCTGAGCTACACAATGACTCTCAGGCAGCCAAAGCACATAGCAAGACCCTGTCTCAAAACAAAACTGTTGCAGAACTACATATAAGAGGACTCTTGCTCCAGGTATGCACCTATATAGTCCCAGCTCCCTTGAAATGATGAGGATTACTGCAGTCCAGGGCTTGGAAAGAGTTCAAGAACAGCTCTGGTAACTTAATGAGACCTTGTCTCAAATTGAATGACAAGTAAAAAGAGGACTGGGTAGCAATAGCTCATGCTTTTAGCCACACCATTCTGGAGGAAGACGCAGGCAGGTTATCTATGAGTTCAAGGCCAAACAAGTACATAGTGTAACCCTGTCTCAACAAAAAAGGTGTCCAGGGAAATTAGCTTGGTGGTAGAGTGCCTAGCATATATGAAGTCTGAAGTCTAGATTTAATCCCTAATTTTACTGTGGGAGAAGGGAGCAACATGTAAGCGAAAGGGCAACAATTCATTCTTAATTTGTGCTTTGGAATTTTTTTTTCTTCCCCAAGACAGGGTTTCTTTGTAGCTTTGGAGGCTGTCCTGGAACTAGCTCTTGTAGACCAGGCTGGCCTCAAACTCACAGAGATCCGCCTGCCTTTGGCTCTCAAAAGTGCTGGGATTAAAGGTGTGCGCCACCACTGCCTGACTGCTTTGGAATTTCATAATATATGCAGAAGTCTTGGTGGAAATCTTTTTTTGGCTGTTTCCTTTTGGTCCTATCCATGCTTGGCACTCACTTCTGGGACCACTCGAGGTTCATGCCAGACTGGGTAGAGAATGCTTGCAACATTTCCTGTTGTTCTGGGGAGAGCGTGGGTACTGGACTGGAGGAAGGTGTGGGTGCAGGTGCAGGCATGGCGAAGGCTCTTTGGATTTCTTCAGGGCTGGCATTCCGCACAAATAATTCATCATTTATAATACATAACCTTGGGGACAAAGAACATTTTAAATAAATAAGACAAATAACCTCTCATTTCTACATTGTCTCTGTTCTCAGATCTGGTTAATACACAAGGTGCCCATCTAATGTTACCTTTCATCATTTGACTACAGACTAGGTATTTAGGAGGATTATCTCCCAAACACATTAGAATTATTATAGTTGTTACTCAAGCTTCATGAACTTCCTATTTATTGCTTTTCTACAATTCTGCTAACTCCCTGAGGAATAATTCTTTCCACTTATCACACTGCTGGTGTGAGACTGAGACTGATGCCCAATGTGATAAGCTGAGCACTTACCCTGAATTGCTGGCAGGAACAGCAATGAATGTTCTCGTGAAAGCACGCAGAGAGTCTCGAGACTTCCCATCCACTGCAACGAGAAGAGCAGCAATGGCTTCTTAGAGTCACTCAAGCTTGATGTGTACAAAAGGTTCTCACATCATGGTCAGGTAAGGATGGTTATTAGGACACAGAAGAACAGAGGTGGAATGAAGGGACAGATCAAGGAGGACAGGAACAGGAAGTAAGTGAAACAACTTAGAAAGTCTTGACCCTGTGGCTTGGCAAAGGTATCTGAAGTCATTTCAGTTCTTAAAGCACCACTATGCAAGAGTATTATGAACCTCGTCTGACAAAACAGAAGAAAAGAATGGTTCTGAGGTACTGTAACTTTGCTAGACCCACAGAATAAACACAGGGATGGAAATGGAGACCTGTCTGACTCATCCATCTACATTGTTCTGGTCCCTAGGTTTTTGTCACACTGCATCTAAGACAGGTAGGAGATAAGATCAAACCAAGATGTGTTGGGTAAAATAGGAAGGTCAGAGCAGAAAAAGGCTAAGAAGATAGCTGGGAAACTAAGGATCGGAGAAAGGTTCAGGACTCAAGATTTTTACCTTCCTTGAAGACTCCATTGACAGAAAAACACAGCAATGTGCTCTGAAAGAGAAAAAAGCACCTGAAGCAAAGAAGGTTCCTAGCCAGAGCTTGGGCCTCCTCACCCAAGGAGTGCTGAACCCATTCCCCACCCCAATTCTGGGCTTCTGTCAGGAGAGTATGTGCTTACTGTTTGGGCACTTATGTCTACCACAAAGGAATTGATGTCATGTTGAGTTTTGGGTAACTCATTGAGGAAGGCAACAACGTTGAGACGTGTATGCTTTAACAGCCGGAACCGCAGGGCTGCAAGTAGAAGGAAGAGAAACCAAAGTCAGGGCACACCTGCCCTGGCTAGCTCTCCTGATTGTCTCTCATTCTGACTGCTCACATGATATACTTACTGGGATCTTTAAGCTTCTTCACATTTCTGCTGTCTTTGAAGTATTCAGATAAGTTGGTTCTGGAAAATAGGGGGGGGGGGATATGGTGGTGGTCAGAAGAGTAGCCTGTATCTACCAAAAAAACCCCTGTGGTTCTAGGTTTTGACATGTGACACTCACCGGACAGAGTTCGGTGGAATGCTTAGTGAGCAACAGGCCCCATCATGGTAGGCATCTAGGAGACCCTGGCGGTCTCCTGAGTCATAAATTGCATAGTACCTGTAAGGAAAGTGAAAGGAAGAGTCTCAGTTGTGTCTAAAACCAAAGCAACACAGCAGTGAGCTATGCACAGGCCAGTCACTATCCCCAGCCCTAAGGGGCCCCTGGGATACTCACTGCTGCAAGAAGTGCAGGACCAAACTCTTTAAGTTTTCTGTTCCAAAATAGCTTCCCTGAAATCAAACAAGACATTAGGATGACAGGACCAGTATGCTTTCCACTCACGAGTTTATAATTCTATCCCCAATTCTGACCTTGCAGGGTGGTAGCATTGTGGGGGCTTCAACATCAAAGGCAATTGGAGGGGGTAACTCGTGGCCATCCTGTGGAAACAGTGAATGTAACATGTGAAGCAGAAGACTTAATTTGTTACCACACAAAAGAGCTAAGAGCAGAGTCAGAAGTCAATCATAAAACAGCATAAAGAGTGTGCAGGAATCTGGTGTGAACTTTTCTAGGATGATGGCTACCACTGTTAGCATATTCTCAAAAGGGATCTACTAATTCACACTGGGAGTCACAAAACAGAGGCAAGACCTCAGTTGTGCTTGTTAGAAGAGAACAAACTGTTTTGTTTTTCTGTAACTTTGGAGCCTGTCCTGGAACTAGCACTTGTAGAACAGGCTAGCCTTGAATTCACAGAGATCTGGCTACCTCTGACTCCCAGGTGTTGGGATTAAAGGCATCAGGCCTGAGAATGAACTGTTAAACTTACCAGGCGTAATAACTTGGGAAATCGTTCGCGAATGGCGCTGTCAAGAACGGGACAGAAGTAAGTGACGCTTCAGAGCCATCATGCCTCCTGGGCTGCTCTAGGAGCAAATACACCAAAAACCCGAGGAACAGCCCATCCCATCCTCATCGCCCACTCCTTCCCAATCTGCACTTGGAGATAAGAACCCCAATTCCCTTCCTCACAAGGGGTACCCCTCTGGATTGCCTTGAAGGCTGGCTGTCTCTTCTCAGTACCTGATACCGAGTGCCACGGGAAGAACACTCAGCCCAAGCTTTAAGCCTAGGGCTGCCTTTCCCACCTTGCCCCCCTTACCTTCCACCTACTCACCTGTGCAGCCCCGGGAGGAGGGAATAGGGTGGGAGCCCAGGGGCTCCGCTGCCTCAACAGGTATCCACCAGTTCTGCCAGGTCTGGCCTTGGCCAAGACCAGAACACACCACAAGTATGGCACAGGATGTTGGGGCAGGGAGATGAGCAAGACAGGGCTCAAGAGAAAAGAAGGCAAGAGAAGAGACCAAGGGAAAGGAGAAGAGAAAAAGGGAAAGTAGGCAGGGCAGGGCAAGGACAGGAAGACATGGGGAGATAAGGAGAGGAAGCAAAGCAACAGAGACAGAACTGAAGGCAAAGGCACTTAGAAAAGAAGGGGATAGGGAGAAAAAAAGACCTTCTGATACAGCCCTTTCCTTCAGCTGCCCCTTTCCTGTGGTTCCAAGGTAGAAATGAAGAACAAATCCTACTATAGTGGCTTGTAGTC